GGGCGGCGGCTAGGGTTTCTACTTGCGGCTAGGGTTTCATTTGCAATAGGGTTTCTTTGTTTTAAATCTGTCCGACTATTGCTTGCTTCATCCAAGTTGTTTACTTAATTTCCAAATTCATTTAGGAAACTAAGTAAAGCACTTGGATAACTCCTTTATTTTCACTTGGCTACTCTCCTACATTCTCTCCTACATTTTAGGAACACTACCCACTCCTACATTTTAGGAAGCTAGGGTTTCTATCTTTTATGTTGCCCTTGGTGCACTTCCATTTCTGTCCGCCACTATTGGCCTTCCAAATTCTTCCATTCCCACTTCATTGTGCACCCACATTTGTGTCTTACTGTGACGACCCCACCTCCCCCTAAGGCGTACCAAAGGGTTCGGCAGACCGCCTGCCCAGCTCTCGCCAGGACTCACTCCCTATCTCAAACGATTCATGTACACACATCCATGAACCATAAATAACATTCCCAATTCAAGCTTATAATTTACATTGATAGAAATCGAGGTACAAAATCTCAATATACTCAAACTGGTTCAAGGCGTATACAACCCAAATACAAAACATTCTATTCGAGGAATAGCACGAGTACAAGTCAAAAATCAAACAACTAGTCTATGCTAGACTTTACATATCTCGCACCTCGCTCGTACCCCTGAAAGGAAAACAAATGGAGTGGAATGAGCTAAAAGCCCAGTGAGGTTCCAAATAGCAAATTGACCATTATTTATAAGTACGAGTTTTCGTTATAGCCAAGTAACGAGCATAAAGTGTTCATGAAGTGTTCATAAATGTGAACAGTAACACGTCAAGTAGCAATCTTAAAATGAGCGAGTGTAAAAGTTTTTCAAAAGAAACAATAATCCAACAAACAATAAGTATTCCAAAGCGTAAGGATACGGATGGCTCTCAGGAGCCAAATTCCCCTTTGCATTACCAGAAGCTTGATCACGTAGTAGTTGACACTCCGTCAACTTTCAAGTAAGTAACCAATCCAGTAGAACACCACTTAAACGACTCTCCGTCCACCGTTCAACCCCCAGCTGGGCCCAAAATCCTCAAGAACACGGGTGGTAATACTCGAGTATACCGATTAGTCGAGGAGATATCACTCCACTCGACAATACAAGAGACCCAGGGTTCGTTACCCAATCGACCAAGCCCTTGCCGGCTCGACTAGAGTAACTCGCCACAGGGTTTCTGGAATTCCAGGAAGTGCGCGCATCATAATCAAGTATATCAAGTCAATTGCAACAATAAACAAGTATATCACGTAAGGGCAAGTGCGATAAAGTACACTCTTGCCCTATCAATTCACGTATATAACATGTACTCATATTGGTCACGTATCAAGTTCAAGTATCTAGTGCAATTCGGTATTTGAAAGCACTCACCAAAAGATATAGTGCCTTTACTGGTCACTTTCAGGTTATACTCCGGGTTCGGAGTCCAAATCTGCGATAAAACTTAGTTTGAGAACTTTGAAACATGACTAAGATTCGAAACTTAGACGTTTCGTTCAATAAAATCAAGAAATTGAAATTCGCTCGGATAGTAGTCGTGAAACACTTGCTCGCTTTTTAAACGGTAAAACTTTGTAACATTTATACTTGAAAATGCCATGCGAGTCGAAAGTACAAGAGAAACATATTTCAAATAGTCATTATTTCATTTCTCAAGGGTACAAGTTCGGCCAAGTCCTTCCTTATATACCTCGGAACAAGAATACTCAAGTACCCTAGATGGTTCAAGCAGTAATCACTTTTAACCCTTACTCAAGTTGCAAGTAGTTCTCTAGACCTCGAGCGTAAATTTGGGCAGCATGCCCTTTGTGTTTACCTAATTTTCCAGCCATTTAGGCTTCATTATTTTTCTCAACCACAACCCAACATCACATATCTCAACAATTCAAGCCAAAAGCCGTTCCATAGGCTCACAATATCATAAAAACAAGATTCACAACAATTACAAGTGCAGAAATTCAACTTAGCACAAGACAGATTTGACGTACGAATGCGGAAATAACATATCCGAGGCTACGCTTACCGGATTGAGGCGTAACCTATGCCGTTTCGAAGCTAAGACACAGAGCTACAATGTTCATGAAGGTCACTTAATCCAGTTTCTAATGTAAATTGGTCAAATTCTCCAATTACCAAACCTGAAATCAATTCACCGGCTGTTTAAATGCAGAACACTGTAATGGACATAACCCAGTGTACACAAGTCCGAATCAGGTGTTCTTAGAGGCATTTTAAAGCTACTTCAGAGCACTACAACTTTCATGTTTTGGTCCAGAGCTAAATCAGAATGGATCCTGGTCAAAAATCGTGATAAACTGGACTGAACTGAAGAAACGGACTACTGGGAAATTCTTAAAGCAGTAGGGGTATTTTGGACTTTTCACGTTCTGCGTTGCTCCGATTGAGCTGAAATTTTGTAGGCACCTATAAAACACCATTCTCTACAACTTTCCTTCTTTGACCAAAGGCCAATTCGGCCTCTAACATACAGATACAATTTCGGACAGAATGCTTGGGAAATTTTCCAGAAATCTGGAATTTTTAGCTCTAAGTGTAGTTTCCTCAAATTTCTGGTTCCAATCACCACTAAACAACCTTATATAACTTTAATTGCAACATTTGTATTCATGCTTTTCCTCTTAAAGATTGTTCACTATTTTTACCTGCCTTTGATTTCAGGATTTTGTAGTTTCTTTTCCGAAGCTTTTGGGGGCTTTGTTACCAAAATTGTTTTGTTTGTGACTTTTGGGCTGGTTCTTGATGTACATGTTTTTGGGCCTGTCTTGCTTGATGTAGAGTTTGCTAAAGTTGATTATGAAAAGTGATTATAAAAAAAATAAATTAAAATTATTCTTGAGTAGGTTATAGATTTTAACTTTCGTAATTTTTAAAACCCAAACTTTAGATGCAAAAGGAAACAAGAATTACACCAAAGAAATCAATTATTCAAATCAAAATCTAAAATCAAGTATTATAACAAAAAGACAAACCCTTATGTTACCGATAATATTCCTATTATAAACGAGGCTTTTGTGTATATGCCTCAACCATTTTGCGCTTCTATGAAAACGGAAACGAAAACGAAAACGAAAACGAGGCTGTTGTAGGCAAAGCATTTTAAATTATTTTGAATTTTGACTTTATTTGCTAAACAAGATAATTCAATTAAGCAAAACTGTAGATCTATTCATCTGCAAATCATTCATACGAAATTCTTTGTGAAATCCAAATCTGTAAATCCGAAATGGTCAGCGAATTGATGGATCTTTTTGACATTAGACATGCCAATTGACAAACAGAATTTCTTTCTTTTTGAAAAATAAAAAAGGAAAGGGAGAAATTTTTTTTTTTTTGAGTCCGAAAAGGGAGAATTGAAGAAATTTTTTTTGAAATTATGCTTTCATCAATGTGCCCTAGCCAATGGAGCTAGAGGTGTAGGGACATGGGGCAACCGCTAAAGCATTGACCCCTACACTTGGAAAAGCAAAAGAATATACATACATACATACATACATATATATATATATATATATCTAATGTTATATTATATTCTATGACATTATACTTTATATTATATTAAAAGTGATAGGTTAATTTTATGATTTAGGTTTTTTTAATAATATCCTTGACCTAAATAATTCATACTTGTTATAATTCCTCAATTTATTTCCATTTTAGCTTTTTGTTTAAAGGTATTTATGTAACATCAATGTAGAGGTCTTACATTAGGAGAAAAAAAAAACGTAATCGTATGTGCCAATAAATGTATACTTTGTCCCTTCAAAGTGTGTTAACTTATTGCACTATGCCTTTCCAAATGTTTAATTCTCAACTAGCTCCCATATTGTAATCTTGGCTTTGCCAACTAACCTTTTTTTTTCTTTTCCGATTCAGAAATCAAACTAAAATTGACGAATTTTACCATAATATTCCTTGACATCAAGAATTAATCTACCACAAAAGCAATTTTAATTGCCTCCTAATTGATACTTGTGTTCTTCTTGAGTAATTTTCTATTTTTCTAAATTATATTATCTTTCTAATATACACTACGACCAAGAAAACACATCTGGATTTTCAATAAATTCCCAAATTTATTAGAAAAACTATATATGATGTTAACTAGTATTAAGGCTCTCATTACTAAGCCTAAGTCACTTAGTTATGCTTTCGTTCAGTCAATGACTGCAACAGGTAATGCATATTACACTTGCGCCAACTATTTTCACTGAAATAAATAAATAAATACTGGAAAGAACTGACCCATTCTATCAATTAAAGAAAAACCGAAGGAAAGCTGACTTATTAGCCGTTGTACGGCTGCAAATCGGGGCAATGGTCAAATTTAAGCGAACAGTCAATTTTTAGAGAAAGCAATACTAGTCTTTTTTTTTTGCTCAGACACAGGGGTATCCGGGCCTTCGCCCCGACTAACCACAATACTAGTCTTCATATGAACATAGTTGAGTTTTTTTTTTTGTGAAAAATATTTGCGGGTAAGTGGTCATGATTTCAAATTTCACAACTTTGTGCACCAGCAATAATCGAATAATAAATGAATGAGAAAATATAACTTTTTTTTAAAAGCTTAATTCAGGCAAATATAGTTCTATATGTGTATCTGAGATTGAGTAGTTTCAGGGATATTTGTCAATTATTAGAATTAAGAAACTAGACAAAATCGCATATTTATTTGATAATTTAGTAGTAATCTTAGATTTTGTTATTTAACTAAAACTGACGCAAAAAGACTGAGTCACTTACAAGAAAGTTGATCTGACGACGTTTAAGCTTTCAACTTTGCGACCCCTTCAAACTAATATATCTAAGAACCAATTATTGTAAGCAGATTATTTGTGTATGCCCTATATATACCAGGGTATTAAGCTTAGATCTCCACAAAACTTTCATCTTAAGACAAATTCAAGCACAAGAATTTTTAGTCGAAAACCTCTCGTTATACAGTACTTCAAATGGCTGAGAGGAGAAATGATCCACAAGTTTATCCATTGTCTCAAAGTTACAATCACAGCACAGATTTTAATGTGAAGCGTGATGAAGAGTCCGCTTTCAGAAAGCAGGATGAGATTCGTCGCAATTACAATGCGAGTCTCAACGTCACGAGGATGAAGGGTCGGATTCAATAGAGTCGGATGAGATTCATCGCAAAAAGCATTTGAAATACCTTGCATATTTTGTTTCCTTTGTTGTGTTCCAAACTGGTATCATAGTGCTGTTTTCTCTAACCGTGATGAAGGTAAAAACTCCCAAATTTCGGGTAAGATCAATAACTTTCGATCACTTTGAAGTTCGTACAGCTCCGAATCCTTCGTTTAATTTTATTGCAAGTGTCGAGGTTGGTGTGAAAAACAAGAATTTTGGAACGTATAAGTTCCAAGATAGCAAGATGTATTTCTCCTATGATGGCATGCCAATTGGGGAGGCCTTTGTTCCTGATGGTAAAGCTGGATGGCTGTCAACCAAGAAGCTAAAAAATCTGGCCACGGTACTCTTATCAAACAATTTGCCTACCAATTCACAACTCGGAAATGATCTCAACTCTGGAGTCTTGAAGTTGAATGCTCAATCCCAATTGAGCGGAAAGGTGACTCTAACGTTCATGTTCAAGAGGAAGAAATCCACAAACCTAAATTGCAACATTACTATCGGTTTGGCTGACAAAGCTGTTCGAGAAATTGACTGCAATTGATATTGTAATGTACATGGATGATTTACCATAGTCTATTTTTACGTGGGTATTTATTGCTTTTTTTTTTTCTTTGAGGTTCTTGATTAATTTTACATTTTTCAGGTTTAATATTATCTTTGGTAGGTAACTAAGGCCGCTACATTTGTATTATGATAGTCACCAAATTCATGTTACATTTATTGTCAAATATTTGCCCTGTTTGGTTTTGATGCAAAAAAAGCGTTCTGTGCTTAGGGAGGTTTTGCATTTTAACCTCAAAGTTTATTTTATCAGCAAGATTTACCCCCAAAGCTACCAATTAACTATCATAGCTAATTACAAGGTGCATGAAAGAATTGGTCTTTCTTCTTCTTCTTCTGGCATTTTTTTTGTTATATTTTTCCTCTCAGACTCCTATGATGGAGCCATCTAATATTCCCTGTTCCCTTCTGGAGGAATGCGATAAGCCCCTACCTAGAAAGATCGCGCCTTCACCTTCACTCACGACTGCCTGATACAGGCATGTTGGGTATAAAAATGCAGTTGAATTGTTAGAGGAGAAAAGTCATCTGGTCCAACTAGTACGTCGAAGGATTAATTACACTTCACACCCATTAACATGTATTGAATTCTGATTTTGTAACCTAAATTTCAATTTTGAATACACTATTTGAGTCTAATTGTTCATATTGTAAGGAAGGAAAAAAATTAATGGAAGTAAGGAAGTCTTCATTATCCATTACTCAGGTATCTCCATATTGTTCATTTCTTGCCTTTTTCACTATAAACAATCAAAAATTAAGACCTAATAAATCATTAGCAACAGCACAATATTGTACTTCTTCAACCGGAAGCTCTTATTGTTCAATTGTAATTTAGCTATTTCATCGTCCTTCTTACCCATGGAGTTCAGCAATCAATTCATTACATCCAGGGCATAGTTTGGGGTCACATCAATTCACTTTATTAAATGAATGTTTGACACATCTCCAGAATCATCTTCCAGGTTTAGGTTTGGATTTATTCTTGCTGAAAGGGTTCCAATTTTTTTTTTTTGGGTTCTTTTCCTTTGTTGGGGAATTTATTTTAACTTAAGATCGAAACTGGAATTGACAAAAGGAGGCAAAGTTCCTCTTCTCTATTTTTTCTACTTTTTACTGTGTAATAGTTAAATTGATGCATTGTTTGCACATTCGTTGCTTGCATTAGTTTTAGTTACAGTGTTGAGGATTGGACTCAAGTATGATAGACTCGAGCGCTTAAGATATAGTGCGTCCAAAATTGAAATTTATGATGCAAAATGATAATTTGGTACAACTTAAAAGCTCCAAAGAGGAACTAGTAGTCCTAAATTGAATTAGCAAGTTTGAGGAGCCCAAACAAAGAAAAAAAGGGTTTCGAGGAGCTCTTTGAACAGAAGACAGAAGAACAAATTGTATACCCTATCAATTATTATTCTCTAACTCAGAGCAAATAAAAAGAAAGAAGCAAAACATAGTTGGCACTAACCGAATCCATTGTGGAATGATTGGTTAGTTTTTTCTCCTGATCCTGCATTCACCGGCAAAAGGAACATGAAAAAAAATGCAAGTTATAAGTGGTCTTCTTAAAAGTCATGCAACACTGGCATAACAAATCTGTGAAGTTACACTCATTTTATGCAAGTTACAAGTGGGATGAGAAGATGCAAGAATATATATATATATATATATATATATATATATATATATATATATATATATATATATATATTAGAAGTTACTTTCAAGACAATTAATTACTAAAATGCAAAACACAATCTAAGAGGAAAATTTGGATAAAAAGATGTGATTACAAGAGAGTATAAGAGAAAAACAAGTTCTATTAGCTTTTACATACTTCTAGTTGCTATAAAATTTAGTTTTGGAGTGCAATCACCTAACCCTTTTATCATTTTCTCTCCACAGATTTCTTACAGCAGTACTTGATTATATAGGGAAAAATACTTCACAATAAAGACTTATTGTATGGGTTCCCTTTATCACCAATCAACAATACTATCCACTAAAAAAGTTATCTTATTCCTGCAATGACATGATTAATTAGAACACACCCAAATTTTGTGCAAGGTTTCTAGATGTAATGCTGAAAAGCCAAGCTATTTGACTCTCAGCTGAAAATAGTAGTGGCGGTTAAATAGATCAACAAACTTACAAGTTTGCATTGTGTAAAGAGATGGTTAATTTCTTGAATTTTCCTATCACTTAACATTACACGTTTTGCTTTTTATCCTTCTCTATCAAGATTTCTACATGCAAAATAGTAGGACCGGAAAGTCTGTTTAAATAGACAGACTATCTCACAATTGTATGATTCTCGTAAGGTGGCACATTTTTGTGACATGATTAACATTTTTTTCTAAATCCAACTGTGGAGTCCACATTTTTTTGGAAATCGTCTATTTTAGACCCCGTCCATATCAAAATGACAAAATACGATCTATGCTCATTTCAAGATGTTCATATTCCTTCTATTTCTTCCCTTTCTTCTTTCCCTTAGCTGACTCTTTCCCCTATTGAAACTTCATCTTATCCTTATGATGGTGATAAGCACCATTTGGTCAGACTTTTCTTTGAGTTTCATCCAACAAGATACGATTACAGTTATATGTCAGTTTACTCTGATCATAAGAAATATTGGTTAATTCCTGAGCTAACCACACAATCAATATCAGATAAGACTGTGTTGCATCTTTCTGGGATTAACATTAATTTTATTTCTAGAGATGGATCTTTAATCACTTGCCAATTAACAAAAAATTCCGAATTTGGAAAGAGCACTTGCCTTCCAAAATCAATGCCTACCCAGGAAGTATTGGAGACGGGGGATCTTAGGTAACGAATTCTTCATTGGTTTTCCTGTTGAATTGAAGCGGCATGGAAATCAACTAAAAATGTTGATATTTTTTGGCTACTAGGTATATGTAACACCATAGTTATTAAACCCGACCCGGTCCGGCGGTCGAATCGGTCAAACCGGTGGACCGGTCATTGGACCGGGCCGGGTTTGGAATCAGATCGTTTGTGCAAAGAGACCGTTGACTTAGTCAACGACCCGGCGGTCGAACCAGGTTAAACCGAAAATCCGGCCGATTTTGGCCGGTTTTGTCACTAACCGGATTTTGTGGAAAAATCATATTGCTATTGTTGGAACTCGAACTTCGGACCTTTGCCCCAACACTACCGCCTGCTTACCACCAAACTACTTCCATATATGTTGATATAGTAGCTTTATTATGATATATAAATGTTTTTTCAATTCTATCTTTTTTCTCTAAAACAAATTTATTTGGAATCTTTTAATAAAAATTTATTACTCTCCAAACTCTATAAGTTATAAAATGGATTCCAAAAATAACATATTACATAATTCATTTAAAGACAAATATTATTTTTAATAATTTTTTACACTTAAAATTCATAAATAAGCTAGATAATTACACTAAATATAGATAAAATTTTACACTTGAAGTTTGGTATATTAATAAATAACTTTATATTTGATTGATTCTTATATGAATTAATTATTTTATAACAAATTAAATTAAATGAGCTTTTGTTATGGCATTATTTATTACAATTTATATCATATATCTTATATAAATAATTATGAAATATAATATTTAAATATATGTAGTGACCCACCGGTTCAACCACTCACCCACCGGTTAAACCAGTAACCCATTGACCCACCTCCTTCGCCGGGTTCCTTCCCGGGTTGGGTTTAATAACTATGTGTAACACAGTCACACTCGTAATCGCCTTAATATTTAGGAGCCTGTACAATATTGCAGAAAGTTTATCTCATCAGTAAAAGTTAAAGTGTACATTAAAAATAATAAACTAATAAATGCAACTATCATCCAGGATATAATTATAATTTGATTATGGCTCTGTTTAACTTGGAGTTTACTTTAGAAAAGTAAAGTTAGTTAAGGAAAACGTATAAATGCAAAGGAGGATAATAATTATTAGTTTTCACATTTACATAGTAGATTGGTGTGATTTAAGTGTGTTAACATGTGCTTATTGAGCATCCTTTGAAAAAACGCTTCGATTATTTCAATAGTGGTGTTATACAACTTATAAGTTAACCAACTGAGTTGGCTCAATTGGCCACTCGGAAGGGATAAAAGTCTCTTTTTGGTTGTAGGTAGGTAAGCGATTCGAAACTCCTTACCTGCATTTCCCATCCAAGATTTTCTAGAACATTTTTAGAAGTAATTTAGTTTCCTTCAAGTTCTCTATCCCCCTCTCCCTCCTAGGAGTGTGTAAAATAAAAAAAATTCCAATTTACCAACTGAATTCGAATTGAATTCTAAATTTTTGAAATTGATAATTCGGAAGTTGGAACTGAAATTAGGTTTTTCGATTTCGAATTATGTAAGTTTGGTTCGAATTCGGTAATGGGATTTTTCAAATCGAAAATCGGAATTCCTATTTCAATTTTAAATTCGTTTTTCATATATATATAATATTTATTTATATATATGTAATATAAAGTTTATATTATAATAATAATTTTTATATTCCTGAATTTGGTGATTTGGAATTCCTATTTCAATTTCAAATTCATTTTTAATATATATATATACATATAATATTTATATATATATGTAATATAACATAATAATAATAATAATTTTATATTCCCGAATTCGGTGAAATTGAAATTTACCAAATTCAGAATTGAATTCAGAACGAATTCGAATTCGGAGTTGGCAAATTTGACAAAATTTCAAAAATTCCGATTTCAAAGTCCTGAATTATCGATTTTGATTCCGATTCATACCCTACTCCCTCCCCTTTGCTTTAGTCTGTTATGCATTTATGGTAAACTGCCACTAAACTGAGTCCAGTAATAAGCTTCCAGTCAATGATAGCATCAAGTGAAGTGTAAACTTTGATGAATATTCTTTGACTTGAGATGTGGGGCATTTTCAAAGTAAGGTGGCTTGACGGAATATTTCAACAAATATTTAC